TACCTAAGTTCAGCATCCACACGCCTCTAGGAATGGCCAAGCATATCCAACCGACGATAAAGATGATTTCGAAAACTACCATACTCATGCAACGTCCTATAATATTAGCTACTGAGCCGGCAGGCAGAGCACCGATTGTCGCGCCTATGCCGAAAATCGATCCGTAAATCTGTGTGTCGTCTTTAGTAACGGGAAATGGAGAATAGAAGTTTCCAGATTCCAGAAATCCAACAGCGGGCGACGACCATCCAATGACCATTCCCATAAGCATGGCTCCCAAAGTAGCTGTAAATATTTTTAACACAAATTAGGCGTTAATAAATCCCTGGAAATATCTCTTTTTTACTTTTAACAAAATCAAGCGATCCCATACCGATATGTTGTATGGTTACAGTTCTACCAGTAACATAATGTAAAATTCTTATAGAAGCGATGAGAACCGAAATGGTATAAGTGACATTTTGTTTTTTAACACGTTTTTACTAATAAGCGGGTGATAGCCTTCAACCTCCTCCTCCTCTAGGTTTTAGAACTCTTTTAAATCTCTTCGAAAATTAATTTACCAATTAAGTGTTGTTGAGTTATTTTAATTATTTCAATCTTATGCCAAAACTAACTTTTAAAATATTTTTTACATACTAGTTTACAACATTTGGAAGACTGTATGTAGTTGTTATCACTGCTATTGTAGCAGGGTCATAATTAAGATTAAGAACAAACATTTTTTTTGCTGTCATCACCCCAAGACTTAGTTACTGAATTGTTTGAAATCCAACATGTATATATAAATTACATCTTGATTATCAATCAGTTTAGGCAAATGTATTGTAGTTAATTGCTAAATGTTTCAATTTTTTTCTATATTATTTTTTATAAAATGAACTTTTTACAAACCTGCTGTCGCAGCGTATACTTGTCGCAACTGACTTGTATTGATACTCATTTTGTTTAACAACTTCAATTGCAACAAATTCAACGTAAGCGCAACAGAACTACAACGGCTTAACACTATTCACAGTGGAAAAGGTATACATTGGCCCCTAATTGTCAACTCACACACTAAGCCACGTAGAGGCATAATAAGCACTAGATTAATATGTTATCATCCATAAGTTCTTTCTGTAGAATTAATTATAATATTATCTAAAGCGTCTTGATAAGTTGACTGTTTCAAATTACTCGCATTTTATGATTATGTTTTTTGATTTTATATTATGCCTACAGTAGTGATTGGAAAATAACATACAGAGTACCATACCAATATCCCAAGGTAAAAAAGGTGTAATATGATGTATTCATAAATTTCCCATAAAAAAATGATTTTTATTAGTTATGACTATTAAACTAAGTGTAACTAAGAAACTAATATTAAATTTATTCCAAGAAGATATTTATTGTTTGCATGTAACTCGAACATCCTATAGTTGTAATGTACTAATTAACAAAAAGTATTTTTTGGATATTACCAACTATCTTTTATAATAATGTGAAATTTAAATTATATAATTATAAATAAAAAATACAGTTTTACAAAATTAATAATACAATTTTTTTACGTTTACCTAATTACAAACCACTCTACTTCTCTCGTGGCGCGGAGTATAGTTGTTATGGCAACAAAAGAATAGTCAAGGTAAGAATGTGTAATATGACAGAATAAAAAATTAGTGAATTTGGAAACCTATGATTATCAAAGCCGCTATTGTTTTATTGATAAATTTTACTTTTGAATGTTTTTGGTATGACATTACGCATACTTCAAGTTTAAATTCAAGTTTAACCTTTTGTGTGTTATCGTAAAGACTTTTGTCAGTAATCTTTTATAATATTTTTTTTTTTCAAAATATGTATATAATAAATAATGTTCTACGAACGTTAAAAATAATAAAGCCGTACTTGACATTTACCGAGTTCGCATTTATCATGGTGTAGTTCGCAATGAAAAAACTAATAATTTAGAGTGTAAATCACTTTTGTAATGTTGCACAAGTCTTTTATCGGGTGAGTATGATATTGTTTCTGTTGTTATGGTGCGATTACTGAGGTGTTACTAACCTGAAACGGCGTACAAGATCTGGGGAGATTTGCTTCTCATTTTGTAAATCATGTTCTGACTTATCTTGCTCATCGGTCGCTTGTATACGGGATTGCACACACGCCTGGACTGTTTGTGTGTGTGCAAATATAAATAATTATATTTTTCGCCCGGCCGACTTACAATCACTATGTGTACGGCTAGCAGACCGTTTTTCGCCGCAATTGGCCGTTTTGTTTGGCGCGACGGACCGGCCGGTAAAATATGTAAAAATGTCGTTTCCGAAAATTAACCGCTATTGTGTGCGCTTTAGTATGGCTAATGTTCCCAAGGCGTGACCTTAATTGTGATCGTCGAAAGTCACTGTTATTCTAGTAGGTTACTTAGTATTTGATACTCTTAAAGACCGTTATAGTATTTAATATTGTTTTTCTATCGACGCGATTAATCGGTTGCATTCGTAGTATAATTAATTCAGTGCCCGAATGAGAGGACACTTCTTGTTCTTCGCCTTATCCTGTATACAAATGGGATAGGCCAGCCAAATCCTCTATCTTTGCACATATTTTCTCCAAACGGTACTCGTTTCTTTGTTCACGCCTTTCTGTACGCATCAGTTTAATATTGTGTGATGATAAGAAATTATAAAATGGAAAAACAACATTTAAAAAAAAAATGTTCAAACGATAACAACTGATTGTGAGCGATTTTTTTTCATTTTAATTGAACGCATTCCAAAATACTTTAATATCAAATACTTTTATTATGGACTGCAAATTGATTGCGTTACAATACTATGTGAACGAGACTTGTCTATGGGACAATAACAAACAAACATGCTTACATGATACCAACAAATGATCGATTTTGTACCGCTCAAAAATTTTTGCATGCTTACAAACCATTTTTTCGTTTTTCCGTGCGAACTACGAAGGTCACTTCAAACACTCAATTTATATTACATTTATAAATAAAATAGGATGCCGAAGACCGTTAAGACTTCAAATATGGCTCTAAACCTTCCTAGAAAGATAAATAGTTTTCACTATGGTTTCGTTCAACGATAAAAACAATTAAGTATTAGAGACGATTTTCTGACAAGGAAATTGGTAATAGCGTATTAATGACCAAAACAATTGTTATACCCTTTTTTTTAATAACAACTGTTTGATTTAAGAAATCAAACATGTATATATATTACATCTTGAATCTTTATTAGTTTATTCAAATGTATTTTATACAACAAAAAAATTATATTTTATACAAACCTGCTGATGCAGAATATACAACTGACTTGTATTGATCTTCATTTTGTTTAACAACTTTAATCGCAAAAAATTCAACGTAAGCGTAACAGAACTACAACAGTGTAACACTATTCACAGTGGAAAAGGTATACATTGGCCAATAATTGCTAACTCACACACTATGCCAAATAGAAACATATTAAGCACTAGATTAGTATGTTATTATCCATAAGTTCTTCCTGTATAGTTTATTGTAATACTAATTGTTCAATGTAAGTGGACAGTTTCCAATTACTCGCATTCTTATTTGATCTTAGTTTTATGATTATGCTTTTTGTTTTTATACTCTACCTGCTGTATAATTACGGTGGCGATTGAAAAAATAACATACAGAGTTCCAATGTAGAAAAAGGTGTAAATTGATATCGTCATAAAACTTCACTAAAAAAAAAAATGATTGCTAATAGTATAACTTTTAAACTAAGTATAACAACTATTAGAAACTAATATTAGCTATTTTCTAATAAGATATTTATGGTTTCCATTTAATTTGGACATCTCATAGATGTAATATATCAATGAACAAAAAGTATTTTTTTGGTAATCTCCAATAAATACTAGCTTTTATAATTATGGGAAATTAAAACTATAAAATATTGAATACAAAATACTTTGTTGCATATAAAAAATAAAGTGGTAAACCCCAACACAATAAATAATCCCTTTACAAAGAGAAGCCATGTAGATATTGTATAAGGCAAGCACAATGTTAGAAGAAAGAGGGGTAGCTGCCGTTTCTGGTTCAGAGACAGTAATAAATTTGTCAGTGATTCAATTACTTTTGACTCTCATGGCATGCGATGGTGATACAATTAATTTTATTTACGAGAAACGCTTAAATTTATTATACTTAATACAGTGCCAAGGTAGAGTTCATATTGTTTTGGAATAAGTATCGTGCTGACTATTACATATCTGTCTTTATTAAGTCTTCACGCATCTTTTAACATAAATATAAATATATAATATAAATATAAAATATAAATTTGATTTTATTTAAATTAATTTAGCTAATATAGTATTTATTTGCAATTTTTTGGATTTGCGTCTATACATGTGTTATAAAATAAATACAGTCGCACGGGACCTGAAATGCTATTAAAATTGGATTGATTTTTTCACAGCCTGATTTAAAAAAAAATTGATCTATATTCCAAGTAGAATTCATCATAATTTATCCGGCTTCATTAAAAATTACGAACTAAGTTAATATTCAACACTACAATTTAGTTTTATACTTTATTCTTATAAATTAACTATCTTATTTTTAAAACTAAATAATAGCAGTAGTTTTACTAGATATTTATTCAATTACCGGCACTTCGCTGGTATACAAAAATTATCTTACAATTATTTATAATAAAACTTTATTATTACTATTTTATTTTTAAGTAAATATTGACAGCATAATGCAAAACACAGATATTATGTATGATATTTTATATACAATGAAAAATATATGAACATTGTATGTATCAAAATACCATAACAAACTAAAATGTCAAACAATTTTTTTCAATATAATTATTAATTATATTATAATATGCATTTAAAATAATTAAAATTGAAAAATTATCACGATCGAACACTATAGAGTTGTAAAAATGTTTGAACCGAAATACATAGATATATCATATCTAGATATTAGATATTAGATATATATTATAAAATAACAAAATACCCTTTAACGAAAAAAAAGTACAATTTTTACTGCTGAAAATATATTTTGTTTTGTGGTGAAAGGTATATTTTAATATTTATATTGATATTATTTATTAAAAATTCATATTGTTACTAAACATTACAAACGAGCGGTAAATAAATAACATTCTTTACAAAACATGTACACTTCAATTAATAATTTAGTTTAAAAAAAATAAAAAATAAATATATATATATATATAACTACATAACATATACATATAGATATGTATGTCTATATATATGTATTATTTGTATATATATATCCATTTGTAAAATACTTTAAGGTGATGATTTGTCAACGCAACATAACATCACATTTTGCAAGCATGCACATCTAAATATTTGGACGATGTGTAAATTTTGATTTTGATTTCTAAAATTCGAACAGGGCAAATCAAGAGCGCGGGCTGTTGCCGGCCATAATCATTTGGATTTCAGCCAAAGTCTTGTTTTTGGTTTCGGGCACAAACACACAAGAGAACAACACGGCCAGCACACAGAAGCCACTGAACGTGAAGAAAGTGCCGTGGTCGCCCACCCAATGGGGCAAGTCTTTCGATATGTAAGTGACCAGAAACACCAGTATCCAATTGACGGAGGAAACGCAGCTAGTGCCCAACGGTTTTACCTGGAAAAAAATCAACAGAGAGTCGTTTACAGAGCCAAAAAGCGACGGCGATGATAATAACAATAGAAGTTCTTAGCGCTTACTTCGCTGGAGAAAATCTCGCCCATGACCACCCAAGGTATTGGACCGTAGCCCAGGGAAAAAGCCGATATGTACACCGTAATGGAAACCAACGGCAGCCAAGCTATCGACAAGGCGAATCTGGGGTCGTTATTGTAGACTATATAATAACAGCCCAAGCTCATGTAACTCACAGCCATCAGTGCGGCCGAAATTACCAGCAGCCTCTTGCGACCGGTTTTGTCTATCAGCAACATTGCCAAGACTGTCATAAACAACTGAAATGAAAACAGTAGCAAATAGTAGAGTACCAGTTGCCAGTTGAAAAAAAAAATGGATAATGTTCTTTTCTATTTTTTTGAGACCCACCAAAAAACGAGACGTTCAATGTTTCCTTTAAATATGATTTTAGAAAATGTTTTTAACGTTTGATAAAGAAAGGACCTTAAGAGGCTTAGGATAGAGGATACCATCTCGTTTTGTGCTTCAAGACTTATGTTTATTTTTTTATTATCTTAAATGTATGTATGTCTAGATGGATGTATTATGATTCTTCTGGAATGGGAACGAATCAAATTAAGCCGAGTCGGAAAATTCTCTTGTTCATACTAAATCTAAAGGAAAATATAAACGACTAGATGATAATGTTGTCGGACATCATATATTTAAATAGAGCATACTATGTATTTGTCGTATCAAATGTCAAAAAAAAAAGCAAAATAACATAATTGCATTAAAAGCTAATAAAAAAAAAAACCAATTGTTCCTAAGACGTCAAATATTCATAAATATTTGAGTTATCGCCATTTCGGACCAAAACGATATAGTGGAGAATACATGAGAGTGATCAAGTAATTGATCAAATAATTGTTTTTTGACGATTAAAGAATAACAATTATAAATATTTAGGCACCAAGCAGATGGTTAATCTGGTGATTAAAAAAGCATAAAAGTCTCATCCGTTTAAAAGACGGAATTATCAGTAAACAGTATAATAAACCGTAATTAAACTATTGAGAAATTTTAGTAAAAACAATGAAGAGGAGGACTGAAACCTGATGAATCTGATTGTCTATTTAATTTAATTAAGAACACAAATGACGTGTTGAACTCTGGTTAGACATTGTATTTTATAGTTTTAACAATACATGGAGAATGGAGTTATAAATATTTTTAGTAAGATTAAAAGTTAGACCTCCTTATTCTTCTTCGGCTTATATCAAAAGAGTCGGCCACCATAATTCTCATTTCCCACATTTCCCGCATTGCTCAACCACACTTACCCTCCTATCCTAACTTTCAAACTCTAATTGCTTTAAAAATAATTATCATAAAATGGTTATCCCAGTGAGATATTGTGTCGATCAATTAAAAAAATTGCGACGTTGTCAAATCGTTCGCAATCATTTGATTTTTGGGTATAAAATTGTTTTTTTTTTTATCTACCAACAATCGTTCGCAATCGTGTTGCAAAAAAGGTAAAACGTTCGAAATCGTGTAATACCGCTTCTGCTCGTGTCTGTTTTATTATTTACTTTCTTCGCCTACATTCAAAACGCCTGAACCGTCTCAATATAATATGTTAGAGTATTCTCTTGAATAAAAAATACCTGGACAATTGCAACGACAATGGACGCTATACTTGGATCAATATTGCTGCCGGTCGATTCGAATATGTCGTTCATATAAAATATCACCACATTGATGCCGCTAGTCTGCTGGAAGAACATACAACCGATTCCGATGAGCAAAGACTTTCGGTTTACGGCGCTGGAAATCACTTGGCTGAAAGTGTATTGCTTGGAGTTTTCATTTTCGATGTCTTTCTATTAAGATAAAAAAATACATCTTGTAAAAACACTTGGTTGCAAACCAAACTTCCACGTGACCTCGCCGAATTACTTTGATCAAGTCCAATTCCTGAGTATTGTCCGCGTTGAAACTGCGTAGTTTTTTCAATGATCTTATGGCCTTTTCTTCTTTGTTGTTGAAGAGATAGTAATAAGGTGATTCGGGTATTAGCAGAACGCCGGCCATATGAATCAACGACCAAACTCCGCAGACCAAGCAAAAAGGCACATAAGATAGAATTGCCCCGAAAGTGTAAGCAAACAGTATACCGATGACTACAAGCACTTGGAATAACGCACCCAAACTTCCTGTAAAACAAAATTATATAATGTACGCTGACGAGTGCTCGCGGCTAAGTTAAGTCTCTAACGACAAAAAACAGAGTTAAAGAGTAATAAATATAAAAACATTATCAAAATGAAAAATGTTTAAACCAAATTATTCTATAAAAGTATTTAAATAACAGTTGATGTTTTACAGTAAACTTTTTGACATAAAAGTTTCTGCTCGATGCTTTGATTTACTATGGATAACATACTAACTTTTAAAAACATTTTTTTTGTGGAGTTTTTGTTTTAAAAGTAGTTGCATTATTTTTTGCAACACAACTTGTACTTTAAAAGTTAGCACAGAACGTGGACAATTTTATTATAGACTTAAAATAAAAGTTAAATAAAATTTAGCTAAAGTCGACGATAATCGAAAATGTTTGACAGCAAATTCATAGTTTTTTAGAATATATATATATGTATTTGTATGTACACTTATATTATTTTACGCACCTCTAATGGACGGTTGAGAGATTTCAGCGACATAAGTCGGTATAACTGCGCACAAAGCGCCAATGCCAACCCCTTGCAGCGTTCTGCCCAAGTTCAACATCCACACTCCAGTCGGAATGCTCAGACATATCCAACCGGCGAGCACGAAGATTTCGAAAACCACCATACTTAGGCAGCGTCCCATAAGCTGGGCCACCGAACCGGCGGGCAAGGCACCAATTGCCGCGCCAATACCGAAAACCGATGAGTAAGTCTGTGTATCGAATTTGGTCACCACAAACGGCAACGGGAAATTGCCGGATTCCAACATGCCGACGGCCGACGACGACCATCCAATGACCGTTCCCATAGCCATTGCTCCCAAAGTGGCTGTAAATAAAAATATTATAAAATCAATGTCTAATAATAATAAAATATAGCAATCACAGATCAAAATGTAATAACCACAGACGATCGATACACTCGTTGACAAAGGTAATTAAAACAATTTATAGAAATTATCTAGTCTTCTTTCAATGGCAATGTACAGATTTACATTTAGAACATCTATTCAAACAATGGCCTGTGCTCATCTAACATTATTTTTTACACTCATTAATAATAATATTATTGATTGCAATATTATTAACTTTAGTTTACCTACGAACACTACAAAAATTTGTCAATTGACAATATTAAAGAGGTTTAATAACCACTACACATTACACATAATATTTATTTTTTTTTGGAAAAAGAACAAAATTTCCATTAAAATTTTTTTGGTTAATCAGAATCTAGCCTAAGAACTTCTCTAGCATGTAACATTTTTTTTATCTAACTGAAGTTCTTAAAAACACCGTTTTGTGATGATTTTCTATAAAACAATTTAAAAAAAATGTTTTATTCTATTTTTTTTTAAATCAGAAATTATATTAGAATTAGTATAGGCTATTTAGTTTTTTTTATATACACAGAAAAAAATTAGAAAATACCGATTTTTGTTTGGCACGTTGCTTTGAAACAATCTAACGTGCTGGAATAAATCTGAAGCTAGATTCAGCTTAAACGTAATTAATCATATAAAATAGATCTCATTTAGTTTTTGTTGTAATGGATTAGAATAAATAATCGGTGCCTCGATATTGCTTACTATTAAATGTCTGCATTACTGTACCGAGTTTAATATTAATTCAGGCTCAGAACATAATTTTACTATTTACCAAAAAAAAAACCAATGTGTCTAAATATTTTTCTTTCAGTACTGTTTTGTTATATTCATTGAGTTACAGCAAATGTAGACTTGAAGAAAATAAATGATCAACTCTACCGAAACGAAGAGCAACTCAGAGATACTAGGTCAAATAGGATGAAAAAAAATGTTGTTCAAAAAATACGAGTAATAGACTGTAGTGTAGGAAAATGTTATGTCAGAATCAGTTGGTACAATAATGTACTCTCGTTATTAACATAATTGAAGTAACACAATTTTTAAAATATGTTCAACTACCATTACTGTTGTTAGACATTATTATTAATATGAAATCAATATTTTATGTATGTACCGTGTGTCATCCTTAGCAACTTATTTTCCCTGGTTCGAGCGCATAAAAGATACAAAACGACAATACAAATAATTTGATACCAAAATCTCATTTTCAAAAAAAATTGACATTGATCTTTTTGCCCCGCAGCCCTTCGTTTGTAACTGTGAAACGAGTTATTCTTTTAGTGGCATTTACTAATATATTAGTTCGTTTGAAATCAGTTCGACGATTTTTCTAAAAAATTAATTAATTATGATGGTGTGACACCAGATGGGTTTGAGAACAAATGATTTACCAACGAGTAATTTAAAATAATATTTTACATAGATTTTTCGTACCAAACGCCGAAATGTAAGATCTCAACACATGGTGAGTTCAAAGTTGTGTAGAAATAGTGATTTCTGAACAGAAAACATACTTACTGTAACCTACATAGCTACATATAATTTATCTTTTATTTTGTACTAACCGATTACCGTAGAGTATATCTGAGGCAAAAATGACTGATTCATTCTCATCAAGTCGGGTTGAATCTCGTCACAAAAAAACTATGTATTTTTTTTTTTTTTAAACAAAACCCATCAGCCGTTACACTATGGGGAGTGCGACTCTGGTCGGTTATTTCAATTAATCGCGAATCATATTACTCAAATTGAAAAATTGTTATTATATTTTTCATAGCAACGATTTAACGGAGATTGCACGCGAGCACTACCGCGTCGACAACACGAATATTGGTCTATTAATATTAATATTGAGTATTATTCTGATATTTCTTTGATCTTTTTGTTTTGCCACTTCCATGGCGATAGCTGCGTCTGTAACGATAACGACAACTACACGCTATTATGTAATAATTTTATTTTAAATCCGATAGGATCGCCTGGAAAGTCATAAACCCGCACAGCCAAATAAGTCGAATAGTGCTAATCGGGCTGCTAAAGTAAAATGTACTAAGATGCACGCCAAATGTTGACAATCTTACATTTGTAATATTATTTATTTATATTTTTGACTTAAATTTTACGCCATTAAAAAAAACCAATTGAGTTTTTTAAAATAGTAATTAACGTCGCGACCAGTAGTGTGTTTAGAAAATTTACCGAGTTTTCATATAATATACCTACTTACTAAAAAAATTATTGAAACTTGAGTGGGTTATACTTACTTAAGTTTTATTTCGTCGTGATCAAATTAAATACAAACATAATATTTAATTGCAATTTTGTGTAATTGTGTACGTTGAATCTGACGACCTATATATAATATTATACAGGTTGTATAGTAACCATACGTCGCTTTTATTTTGTACAGACTAAATTGCCCTAGCGCACGTTTAAGATCTCCTTGTACAATTTTCCGACTAAATTAAATTTTGTTGTAAATTCTTTAACTAATTCATTTTATTAATGTTAACCTACCAACACTTGAAGTTAATTCTGTGTTGTTTTCCGGCTTGACCAATCCTGACTATCGGCGGCATTAAAATTTAATACAAATTTAATAACACATTTCGGTTTTGCCATCTCAAACGTTAGTTTTTCCTTTTTTTTCCTCATAAAAAAATTATGTAAACGAAGAATTAATCACTCAACGATATTTCCCGCAAAGTCCTCTTCAAAATTGATATAACACACCATTTGTTCGTCAAAAATGTATTAGTATGATAAAAATTAGAGTTTCTTACACCGACGATATCGAAGAAATATTAAGGGACATAATATTATGTGACTGTTTTTCAATAAATTCGCCGACACTGAACAAGGTGTTCAATTACAACTGACGGCAGAGGTCTACGATGGCGATAGCTTTAGATAGTAACAACTAAGATTTATACAACACGGTGTCACGACAAGTGAGTCGGTATAAACATATAATGACGGCGCATGTAATATATTATTGTGTACGCCGTACACGTACTAGTGACCCAAGTCAAAGGTGAACAGAGTCTGTAAACGCAATAAAAACATATAAAAGGATAAACCCCAACAAAGGAAGTTCGACCACCAACAATCGAACGGAGTTACATATTATTTTTTGCGGAAAACCGCGAAAAGTCAATTCCAAGTCAACGTACTCTACTTGTTGTATTAATAAATCAAAAAACCGTATTTTGAAAAAACATTTTGAACAAAAACTGGTGATTTGATCGAATTTGTTATCGCTGGTTATTGCGAATATTATGAACTATACTGCTGCAAATCTTATCGCACTACCCATGAATTTATTATTTTATTTTACTGTTTACAACTTAAAAAGTCATATAACTATTAGTTATTTATTATCGTTTGTTAGAATAATAGAACAATAACGGGAAAATATTAGCAAAAGACAAATCAACAATGTCTGTTGGCAACAGATTAATGCATATTATATAATCGCTAATGGAATTTGACGATAAAAAAGCTGCTAGGCATTTTTGTAGGTATTTATTTATTAAAATACAGTAGAATTAAATGTTGACTTAATAAAAGTGCGCATCCCACAAGAACCTTAAAAAATAATCAATCATTCAAATAACCGAGGATTACTATCAATATTATAAATATATATTATACTTTTATACATAATATGTTTTCTCTATCTGTATACCATCATTATTGTTATTACTTCATTATTACGAATAGAAGATATTTATTCATTTATTGCCCGAATTTTTTAAATTATATGTCTTACGCAATGTCGGCTGCTATCACTGGACGTGCCTGCTATTGTCAACCGACAAGTGTTTTTATAGCTGTAATAATTGTAGAGCATCTTAGCCAATACCATAATACGGACTCAGGGTGTTTTATCTTTTAAATTTTATTGTTTCAAAAATTAAATTAAAAAATATACTTTTTAAGAGTGACCTTATAAAAAAGGTCGTCTGAATTCATTTGTGATAACTGTACATTTAATCTAAGACAAACAAATTTAATGAAAGCAAATCACAATACATACATAATATAATTTTCTAAATACATTTACGTTGATATATGTTCAATTCACTTATTGGAATTGCCTAACACACAGACCAAGTCCTACATGCATACATGGAAGTCACTAGTTCAAGTTGTCTTTTTGATTTTAAAATACTGTTAGTCTACACCGACTGAACATCCCGGTATGAATCCGGAGTTTTAAATGATCAAATTAGCACTAAAATGATTATAACATTAACGGCTAATAATTCATGTTGCATCATTGTATAACTGTATGTGAAATAACAAACTTTATTGTGAATTTACAGGAATCTGAATTTTAACTTTTGCAATTAGTCTGTAACGCCAATACATGTTTAATTGTTCGAAATCATTCTAAAATTCACAAAAGCTGTATTGCATTGCAAAATCGGTTAATCGTTCAAATGTTGACGAATATGATTTTGAAGTCCCATATAGTTCTCAATTTTATTGAAATATTTGAGTTTATTTCGATAAATTTAATTTTTAAATATAATATCTGTTAAGAAACGATGGATCAAAAAAAAAAATGTACAGTGTTTGTTTACCAATTATTATAATGTATGATTAAATTATTAATTTTGTCGTCAATAATAATATAAACAATGTTATTAAATATAATGATCGTAATTATTCATATTACGTAGTAACTGGAGAATGTCTATAAAGTATGAAAAAAAAACGGCTGACAAATTAATGACGAATAGTATACAACTTAACATTATGCATAGTTATCACTTATCGGCCATTGTCCCATCTTACAAAATGTTTGCTTGTATAATCGTTGGTGTTTTATATTTGATTATAATTACTACACACGTATGTTAGATTAAATTTTTATTAAGCAACAATTCATTTAATCGTTCATTATTACACGGACTGTTGATTGATAGCGGTTTTTAAATTACATGCCTAATATTTTAGAGTTACAATGATAAAACAATGCAACAATTATTGTAATAATCAAAATGTGGAGATTCTATTATGACATCGTCGAAATATAGGGTCTCCACACATAGTGAGTTATAGTTGAGTAGAAATAGTGATTTCTGAACAGAAAACATACCTACTGTAACCTACATAGCTACTCATAATTTATCTTATATTTTGTACTGACCGACTATTGCAGCGTATATCTGAGGCAAAAATGACTGATCCATTCTCATCAAGTCGGGTTGAATCTCGTCACAAAAAAACTATGTATTTAAAAAAAAAAAAAAAACCCACCAGCCGTTTCACTATGGGGAGTGCGACTCCGGTCGGTTATTTCAAATAATCGCGAATCATATTACTCTAATTGAATAATTATTATTACATTTTTTCATGGCAACGATTAACGGAGACTGCACGCGAGCACTACCGCGTCGGCCGCACGGATATGGAAGAAATTAGATACTTAGATATTGTATTAAAAAAAACAAATTGTATTACCTATGTATTTTTCTATTTTTTATACATATTGAAAGGTTGTCCGAGGTGTTATCTAAAAAAAATCGCGGTATGTGTTAACATTGACATTTTTAAAATTTTATAAGCAAATTAATTCCCTTCACCAAAGACAAAAACACAGATAACGCAAGTATGTAGACATCGGCCGTGTGAAATTAACATTTTTCAAGCGCCGAGATATTATGTAATAGGATACAGTTTTATAGCGTCTCATAATGATTAACGGCTGTATAGTGTAAATAATTTTGCACAAAAGTCTTTTACACAATAAAAACATTAACAAACGTTTTTACCATACGCGTAAAATCATGATAAAATTATGGCAATTATAAACATTTTGATGAGATAAAAAAAAGTCATCAAAAAACATACCGACATTTTAAACAAGATCTATGCCTAAAAATGATAATAACGAATATGAAACCAAATTTAAATATAATATGAAACGACAGTAGTCGGAGATACTTAAAAAATGTATATTATTATTTATGTAGAACTATACATTTTGTACTATAAAAAATTATACAATGCAATATAATAGTGAGTGTATCATAATCATTAATGTACTTACTAAAATGTTTTACTAGTAAAATTTGATTATCATAATTAAAACAATTTCCAACTCAATGTGATGTTTCGTTGCAATCTATTGAATGACAATTATTAGTGAGTTCAAAAAATCGTTGGCGTGAATCAAAATAAATCTACCTGCGATGATATTATTCTACAATATTATATTATTTACAAAACAATTGATAATACATAAGATTATGATGAGTTCATGGCCTTGGATCAGTGGGTTGAAGTTTGACGAGTTGTTCGCAAATTTCCCAATATTTTTTCGCATTGGCATCGTCGAGTATGTCACTCCTCAAACTGGCTTCCTGAAAAGCAAGTGCAGTAGTATGTAAAAACATTGTACTGACTTATCTTAAAGCTTTGTAAAGCATTGGTTAAATTTACTTTGCAATCTTTGAAATATTTTCCGTTGGTCTTCGCCACATCTTCGCTGACGGCCAAATAAATACTAGTCTGCGCGCCTTGTTCTGTTGTCTGTAAACATAATAGAATCATTTTTAACGTGTCTGATGGACAAACGCATTTTATTAATGGCCAATGCGAAAAGAAATCTCCATTAAACACCGTTTTAAAAAGTTTTTTTTAAATAAATCGTCTGGTTTTTATCGTAGCAATGACAACATTTAAATAATACATAATAATAAATGATTTTACGATTAATGTATTTATCAACGAACAATATACATATAGGTTTATCCGCAAATTAAATAATTTGTAACTCGATCAATAAAAATAATAGTTTATTTATAAATACATAAATAACTTTTTTTTTCTGCGAGAAATTGCCTTTACCAAGCCTTAAAAAGTAGAATGTGTGGCGTCCCCTTAAATACCGTTTTTTTAATCTTAGATAATTTATAAATTGTAGCCGTTGTAATTATTTAGGTATTTAAATAACCAATTATTAAAAAAAACGAAAAACAAATAATTTTGACATTAATAATTCAATAATAAATAATCAAATACATTTTTAGTTAACGCTTCATCTAGGAATTAGAAAAATATTTGAATAACGCTCAACGCTGAATAATTCTGATGCACACCTTGAAATAAAAAACGGGCAGAACTAATGTTTATTAAAACCACGCTGAGAAGTTAAGCGTTAATACCAACGCCAGTTAGTGATCGTTTAAAATATAATTTCAATAAGGCGCGAGTGTAGGCAACACATCATTCATTTCCGACCTATAGGTTGCCAAATGTTGGGCCATAGAAAAACGTGACGCTAATTATTATGATTTACGTTAAACACCGTACACGAAAATAAAAGAAAACGATATTGCGACATGACTGGAAAGTGTTTGAAAACTTACCTTAAACATAGTCTTGACGACCAGCTGCAGGGGCAAGTTCAACGGGAACGGTACGTTTCTCCATATGCCAGAGTCGATTATACCGGGATGGAGACAGTTGCAAGTCACTCCTGCAAGTGGTCAATTACAATAATGTCAATCACAATAAATAACTATCGTCGCTCAAGCGGAAACACCGGTTATATCTCATATTTTGACCGATTTGAGTTGACAACCGTTTCTTGTTGGACATTTTGCGGGGAATCGTCGACAAATGTCATTGAACGGTAATATAGAAACTGCCGCATTTGAAAATGAGATAACCTGTGGTTGCCGCTTTGGCAACGACGTTGGGATCAGAACGAAGCAACAGGTTGAGCACATGGCGACAATTACCGGCGTTGCTGTCGCTCAATCGGCGGGCCAGCTCGTTGGAAAACATTATGTTGGCGTACTTGGACACGTAGTACAGGTAAGCCGGCAGCTGGTTGGTCGGGTTGGGCTTGGTCAAGTTCAGTTTGGCCAACTTGTACAGGTCCGAGGCGACGATAACGATGCGGCTGGGTGCGCTCTTCTTGAGCAAAGCTGCAACAACACCGCGTGCAACACAGTCAATGCAAGCCCCCTTGCCGAATTGAACGTATCATAATGCCCCCTCCCGGTACTTACGCAACAGCAGGTGGGTCAACAGGAACGGCCCGTATTGGTTGGTGGCCATGGTGAGTTCCAGACCGTCTTCGGTAGTCTTCTTGCCAAACGTGTTGGCCACGCCGGCGTTGTTGACGAGCACGTCCAACCTGGCTTCTTGTTTGATCACTTTGGCCGCGAATTGTCGCACCGAATCCAAACTGCTCAGGTCCAACTGCATTAATACCACGTCGGTGTTTCCGCTCTCTTTGACGATTTCGTCTGCAAGCAAAAATGACATTTTTTTCATTTTCAGAGTCTACTTATAGCGTATGTGCATTGTTACGAGCACACGACAGACCCTATTTTCCAAACCTCTCCTGACCAAGTCACGAGCCAGCCAAGATGCGTATTATCATAATGTACATATTATTTTGAGTATATGCCGTTTGAGTCGTGTTCGCAATGAATACCGACACGCATAACCATATTCGGTGGAGAAAATTATTCATAAATCCGTCTCGGAGAAATGTTGAAATCGTACAATCAGGTTGATTCTAGTGAGCGCTGAGCTTAATAAAACCCCAGTAATATTTGTATATTCTATTTCTCTCGCTTATATAATGTAAATCGTGCGTTCATAATCGAAAATTTCAATCGACGGCCGGTTTACCACAAAATATTTTTAATTGTTTTTTACTGTAAGATTACCGACGGATCAGAAAAAACCGACATCTGGCTAAACATTCTTAACGTGTGTGAGGTGGCTAATAAATTATAGCACAATATAACACAATGGAGTAGAAACATTATTAGTTCAGTTATTAAGTATGCTTAGCCTATAAACGCAACAGTCTGACCTGAAAAGTGCGAACGTATTATATCACTAAATACAATATATATAAAAAATTAGTAATTTTACATATTCTTCTGCGGCTAGAAATTGTATATTTTCATCTATCGTATATTTTGATCTATAATTTATTTCGTTTCTTATAATAGTTATCGATAGTTTAGCAAAATGCACTATTTCGCCACTTAAAACGAGTTGTATAGTACAGTTTTTTTTAATTCAATTCTTAACAGCTTTTTGAAAGTATTGACCGAACAAATTACATATTACGGTAAGTTTATGGATTTATGTCTTATGGGTAGAAATGTACGAAATATGAATATTTCAATTGACCAGAACGCACAAACTTAAGACAATCAAAACATAATTATCCATCCAACAAGCCTGGTTATAAAAAATCCATAGCCCTACTGAAAAACCTTTACTACGGTTGGGTTTATGGTTCATTAAATAGTTTCACTCACCTTTGACGGTCGAACTAGTCTCCAAATTTCTACAAGCCATGATCAATCTCGCTCCACGTTTGGCCATGTCTTTGGCGGTTTCTTTTCCGATTCCTGTTGTGGAAATAAATAATGTTTTTTTTTTCCGTTTGACACGACATATTATACTGGTATTGTTTATGTCAATCGAACAAACTTACCGGAGTTGCACCCGGTGATGATAACGACTTTTCCCTTCATGTTGGTTGTGCCGCGGTACATGCCAGTGGTCATCCAAGTGTACGCTTTGATTGTGACCAAAAATATGACTGCGATCAGAACGGCATTGATACTGAGAGCCACCAAGTTTACTGTATGAAGGTAAGACAACGTTTCGGCATACCACATCGTCGTTACTACTTTAAAAGCATACAAATCATATGAATAATAGTATGGGGAATCATTGTGGAGTATACATTAGTGTTTATAAATCACAATGTTTGGCCATGGCCTTCGGAAAAACGAACGTCTCCAACGTCTACCGCTTAATGTGATGACTGGAGATTATTTTCTAAGACTATGACAGAAAGATGACAGGATGATTAACGAAATTGTTGGCAGTTGCGAACTTAATCTGTAAACATTATTCTTATACTTAAGCGAGTATACTACAACGGAATCGGAACGGTTTAACTAATAAACATTTCTGCACGTCAGTCTGCCTTGCACTAATACCACGTCTAGACCACGTACATAAAAAATTATTTTTTTTTTGCATTAAATGTAATCTTGGAGACGTTTTTAGAATTTTAACTAAATGTGAAAAAAAAAGAAGAAAAATAGTCACTTTTTCACAAAAAGCATAGTGTAAAGATTGAAAACAACGGTACAGATAATTTGTTTGGATCACTATAGATCCCGATTTTTAATGTTTCAAAAACATTTTTATTTTGTGTTTTGACAAATAAATCTTTAAACACGTGATAAAATATATTATACGGAAAATAACATTTTGAAAAATATACTTATTTTCATGGAAGATACGAAAATCTATATCAAAGTAATCCTTAACACAAATATCAATATTGTTCGTCGATCAATATTTTTTTCAAGTATTTTACCTTATTATACTGACAATTTACAAAACTACAAACTATATCTAATAGATTTTATGTATCGTGTAAAACGATTTTATAAGATACACGTAATTCAATGTTATTGTGCTTATTTTCTGTTAAATACATTTCGAACTCGTTTTTTTAACATGTTAACCGCAACAGCAATTATAATTGTTTCAGTACACGTTTCGACACTAGGAAATGTTAGTGTTATGTCAACGGTCATTCCTACATATTTACACCGTTGTGTAAACTCATAAAGCAAAATTACTGTTATGAATTAATTAACAAATAAAGGTACAACATACGAGTAAAGCCACTTCCGTTTTGTAAATACTTGTAAAACAACTCTCGTGGATTTTATAGCTTATGAAAAAATATTTAACGGCGAACGGTTTAGCTAACTGTTTTTTGTTTGGTAATACGCGACAAACTAACAAACCGCAAACAGATTTATAAGTATTTGTACTTGACGAAAAAAACACCTAGCTACTAATTTTTAGGTAACCAATCTGCTGTTCTTCAGTCACCTTGGCCGAACGGATAGGTTCCAATTAACAAAAGTAATGTCGAATGTGGGTGCAAGTTTGTTAGGTAATTTAATACCGCACAACAATACAATTAATATAGTAATTTGATGAGATAGAAAATGAGCAATTACCATGACAAATAGTCGCCTCGTTCATTTGATACTTTGAAACTTTTTGCCCGTTTCTCATTTAAATATAGGAGACACTATTGGCGATGACAGCGCTAAAATTTCTAAGTAGACTATTAAACTGAGAAAGGCGCCAGTACAGCGTTAAAATAATTGCAAAAGTAACAGATGTAATTTGTGTTGTAATAAGAATTACAATAATTAGAAACTAATCGAATAGAGAAAACGGCTGAGTGAATTTAAGTAATTTAAGCAGTGTACTGTGAAGTATATGCCATAGTTTTATGTATAGAAATATTACCTACAGTTTTGGTGATTTGATTTAATGTGTTAAATACAAGAGGTTTCGGTATGATACAAAATTGTTAATTGTTTATTAATTTTTTTGTTCACATTTACCTTACCTGACCATTATGAAATCATAACAAGTAAAAAAAGTAATAAGTTAATAATTTTTCAAGTAAAAACCCGTTGAATAATACACTGGTTATTATTTAATCGCATATGTGTTTATATAATGCGTATTATAATATTATGATCTATCGGTGTATTACTTAAAACCTTATGGATTACAGTTGTTTAACTGTTTAAGCATAGAGTTTTTTGTTGCTTAATTGAATAACTGATAATATGTTCTTAAATCAATTAGATACAAAGCTACGAGAAATAACTAGTATAAAGTTATAAAAATCAGTAACTTGCCCAGTTTTGGTAAGAAGTTAGGTAGTTAGTTTGTAATACATTTATTATTACAAATATAAATATTAAATAACAATAATATTATGAATTTTTATTTGAAATGCGTTTAAAACGATTATAATTGTATGCAAAGTATTTGTAGAGCTTATGATTGTAACTATAATTTTGGCAACAAATAATATACCCTTAGGATTATATGGTTAATGTTATATTTCTATGTAAAACGATGTAAATAATATTTTTAAACAATTATTTTACTCACATCAGTGGACGTCTGGTGGCGGTTCCGGTTGAGTTTGGTGTGTGGCAAAGTGAAAGCAGTGCAACTGTGAGTGTCCATAAGCCGTCGTTGCTGCGTGGACTTAAGAAACTACTATGCTATAATAATACCACACTGTAGCCACTAAGCAAGGGCATGACCGGCGAAGATGTAACGCGGAAGGGAGAGAGTTGTTTGGATGACGCAACAGCCGCCATAGGTACCTACTAATTTGACTTCCCTGGAGCGAGAAATTGCTACTGAAATCTTACTAATTCGAATACAAAACAATTATTATCGTACAGTTGTAGCGTCATTAGGTCAAGTACACGGGTATACTATAATGGTAAAATACTAGCAAATGCTGCCAAATTCCATTTCACGAACGCCGTCAACATCGGTCAATGGACAATGGCAAACCTACATCCATTCGCCCAACTGTTTTTGCCACGTTAATTAAAAAAGAAATAAGTAGGTAATAATGAAATTGGAATTGTATAACCGGTTACAAATAACACTATTCATTATGCCGTCGTAAACCAATCGATTATCGGTGTTTAAATAAATACTTTTTTTTAGTATTTTTATGTATTGAATTACTTTCTTTTAAGTATTTTAAATTCAATTCTACGGTACTGAACACATAAACTGTACCGTCCAATTTATATTAGTTGTTGATTATCTATTTTTTTTTTTTTACTTCATATTTTACTCACTATATGTGTATACCTGTGAGTACTAAAATCTTCAACTTGTTCAAACGAGTATTGCCCGACTTTACCATGTTACATAACCACTGTCTTTCTTGTTACTACCATATATTTTGTTCAGTTTTCTTTGATCTGAATGTCCATTCTTTGGGTTTATTCTAACAGTTTAAGAGTACTTGCATTATACACGTTTGCGATTATCCAATAATAACAATAGCATTAGTGTACGCTTACAGAGTATTGATTCCAATCGTATCTCATTTCCCTATTACCATACATATCTCTTATTACTTTTACCAAGGCAATCTAATTGCCTAGGTTCATTCTTACGAGCTTGCTGGGAATTTTCGAGTGCCACCAAAAACTGACTTCTGTCATGTTAAAGTAGGTATGCCTGTTAAAAACCGTAAAAACATATGAAACTCTCTGTCACACTCGTAGTATTTCTTTATGGCTTGTCTCAGGGTAAAATTAATATGGCCACTAGTCACGAACAATAATAAGTAAATATTATGGTAAAATATTTATCACAAATAAATGGTAAGGATTTCTCTATTCTTTTCTTAAAAACCTAGTTATCAAGACAAATAATTAATTTCAACATGTATTAGATTAAAATATATTCTGTTAGTTGTTACACAACAATCATCAATCTATGCTGTAAGCATTAATTTTCCAGACTAACTTTGTTGTTTTGAAGAGGTACTCGTCAAGTAATAGTTAACGAAAAAATTAACCTGTAGCTTTTTAACTGAATGCAATGTTTTCTTTAAATTTTGAAACATTGACTTCCATAGATAATTATAATAATCAGTTAAATTTAATGGGAACCGAGCATAGGATTAATAAACACACGGTAACAACAACAATAATAATAATAATATAAAAATATGGGCGGCGTTTGTTCGTTGTTAGGTGTATATGTGATGAACGGCGAATCTCGTTGAAACCTTGAAACTCATTGTCGTTGTAGGTATCAATTTTTACATTGCCATTCCGAATGAACAAAATGACCATTATTATCCAGTGTGATATTATATCCAAAAGAAAATTCACGACGACAACATAACGGACGTAAATTATAAGATACACAACTTAATAATTTAGTCAAGGCCGTTGTTTTTATGGGATCCATGTTGTGGTCCTTACAAAATATAAGCAAACGGAGAATAATGTTACAGATCTCGGCTATAGTTGATACTTAATACTGTGTTCTTAGTATCTGTCCTTTCCATGTGAACAGTGAAGACCACAAAAATGAAATCATAATTTGAATTGTAACCGACTATATTGTAATGAGAATGAGGCATTACGTGTAATTTTATTTTATGAAATAAATTTTATTTCAATTCATCAGACTTTTTCTTTCAGGTGGGATATTTACAAAAATTATTTTAAAAAAAAAACGTATTATATTATGAATGGTTTATGAACAATATGGTATTTATTACCACAGTTTTAGCCATTTACATATTTTTTTAACCGTTATAGTGAAAAAAAACTATGCGTAACAGCAGTATTATGACTACACCATCGTTTTTAGGACAAATACATTAAATTCATGTATTATATTGTTCTTGTAGACTTGTATAATACTATCTTTATTGGTTTAAAAAACAGCTTTTTAGTACACGTTAGATAGGAAATAAAACTTTTGATGGCCTGCATCCCGGTGGCGCGCTCTATAGACGGCGTGACCGCGATTGTAGGCTTCGATGCGTAACCTGTCTATCTATAACCGTTATCTGTGTTTACAATTGCAACAGTTTCCTTATCAGTTAGATAAGGTGTTATCATTTCAAACATGGATCGCGGTCGGCGGTCCGCACACGTGATAGGTTTTTTTATTATTGTGAATTGTGGGTTGTGTGTTGTTATTTGAAAAGTAATCTCCGACGAAACTTATATAAATAAAGTATACATTTTGGAATTTTTAATACTTATTTATTGTTTTGAAAGTACTAGACGTCGACTGTACCTAGTTAATATTATATACTTTAAGGTTTAGAGATCCACGATTGTGATCATGTCGGCTCCGGCTAAAAGGCGTTCGGTGCAACCACAAGAATCCAAAGGCAGCACGTCGGAAAATCTGGAAGATAATGTCGAAGAAAATATGGTTTGTTTAATAAAAAAAATTACATTTATATTGACCGACCAACATCTGACTTTTACATAATCTGCTGTATGCTAGATAGGTTACTAAACCATTGTAAATAAATGGTACTCAGTTTATCGCCTTCTTCTCTCGAACAACTTAGAACAGCTGATTATTGAGCATACTAACTTAATTAAATAAATTTATTGTTTTTCTACAAGCCTTATTAATACTATGATCATATAACAGCAGCTGTTGTTAATTTGTGTTTTTTTAGATGATCGACGTAGAGTTCGAAGGACGCAACCCCGAGAGTTCAGATTTCCATAGCGTCAAACAATTGTTACAACAGTTGTTTTTAAAAGCCCAAGTAAATCTTTCAGACATGGCTTCGATTTTGGTCAATCAACAAAGTGTTGGCAGTGTTATCAAGGTAATTCATTTATTTTATTAGTCTATACATAGTTGTTAATTGCAGAGTAACAATACTGCATAGCTTGGTGCAAGTACCAGTTTATGTAATTGGCAATTTAAACTATAATAAATCTTTGCAAGTACAGTAGAAACCATTTATAATGACATAAAAGGACTAGTAGAAATGTGATGGTTTAAATAACGTCACATGTTGTAAAATCCATAAATTTTTTATTATAATATAAGTAATATGGCTTAATTTTCGTGTATTGTTGGCACATACAATTCCAGCTTTTCTAACCAATAAAAATACTTAATTAATAAATGGATAAAAACAAATCTATTAAAATTTGGCTATGTAAACCGTTTCGTTATTATAAATTATAATCTATTCTGTACTCTGCAATATAAGTTTTTTTTTAAATATAATTCTTACTTATTGCAGTAAAAATTGAAATAATTCATTTTATCGAAATAAACCAACATTTGAAAACTATTTTGTTAATTGTTATAGCAAGTATTTAACGACGAAGATGATGACGACGATGATGAAGACGTTGATAGCAATCAAGTTTTTGGAATAACAACAGTTTTAAACATAACTGATCAAGTAACGTACAAGTTTCTTATCATAATGTTTTCGGAAAACAATTTATATATATTTTATCCTGATGCATTACAAATCTTTTCTTATTATGTTTAATTACAGAAGAGCGAGTGTGTAGAACAATTGCAAAAGTTACTACTGAATTTGAGCAAACAACACGGTGATGATAATGTATTCAATTTTGTCAATGATTTGTTTATAAATAAAAAAAAACCATTGGCATTATTGATAAATGAACGGTATGTTAATATTCCGCCCGCGATATCTGTGCCTCTACTACAGTCTGTCAGGTAAATAAATAAATTTGTAATGGTTTTTAATATTTATCATCTGTATGCATCCCCCTTTCACTTATCTGAGTGCACTTATAAATATTATACCACTGTTTAAATTTGATGTAAATCTTTTGAGTTTATTGTTTCAGTAAAGAGTTGACCAAAGCCAAGTCAAAGAACCCAGCCAACGATTTTTCATATTTCATTATGATTTGTAAATTGTACAAAATAAAAGAAAGCAAGAAAAATAAACCCCAGGAACCAATGTGGTCAAATGCCGAGGAAGAGATATTTGATGAAGTATACATATTTATTCACTTAAAGATCAGTTTTTAATTAAAGAAACTTATTTTTATCTAATTACGCTTTTCAGGAGGCAGAGTACAAGTTTGAATTCTGCGTGAAAAACGAAAAGGATTCTGGATTAGGCGGTAGCTGGGAAGAAGGCGATAGTGAAATGATTCCGTACAGACGAGTGCTACTGTTTTCAGCTGAAAAACTCGACTCTATTATTAACAAAATTAAGGCACTGTTAAATTGAAACGTTGTGAATAACAAAATATTGTAAAGTATCGATGTTTATTACTATATTATATAAAATAAATATAATTAAATTATGTTTGGTATAATTTTTTTTTTTTATTATTTGATAGTAGATGAATAATTAGCTACTTTAAATTGTTATTATATTTATCTGTTTTTGCAGTATTTAATATTATAGTTAAAAATTATATTTTAAAGAAAAACAATATTTTTTTTTATTGATTGAATAATCAATTGATATTAATTTTTATTTCAATGTTTTTTTTTCGCAAAACTAAAATTTAAGTATTTTTGGAACGTTAAAAGTAGGGTTATGTTATGATTTTGTACAAAAATAAAAACTGCATGATGAAAGTTGAAAAAAGAAATGACATCTCTTGGCTGTGGTTAATATACACAGTCCGTCACTAAAGTTTTAAGACTGATTTTTTTTTTAAATTTACTGGTGGTGCTAACTATCCGCTAACACTTGAACCATAAAAAAAAAGCTTCCTTGTATTGATTTGAAAAGTTTCATCGATGTACATATCGTAATTTAGGAGTTGGTACGGTTTTTTGTTTGTTAGTTTTTACACATTGTCATGGAATCTCATTTAAAGCAACGGTATGCGATTAAATTTTGTGTAAAAGTTGGTAAAGTGACTTCCAAAACGTTTAATATGATTCATCAAGCGTACGGTGTACTTTCTTTAAGTCGTTCTAATTTTTTGTTATGGTTTTCGCGATTCAGTGCCAGTAGAGAGAGCGTAGATGATGAGAGGCCGGATTGTCCAAGAAACAGCCACACGGGCAACAATATCTAAAGAGTGCGAGAATCGTTACAGAAACAACGGCCAACAATGGTCAGATTATTAGCTGAACTACAAGTTAATAGAGAAACAGTACATAAAATTTAAACCGAAGATTTAAAAAAAAAAAAAATTGCGCGCGTTTTGTCCTGCACAGTTAAAAAAGATGAACAAAAAGAGGGACGCATAGCTGCAAGTCAAGATCTTCTTGACATGTGTAAAGAAGATCCGGATTTTTTGAAAACAATTGTTACGGGTGATGAGTCATGGAGCTTTGCTTATGATCCGTTAACTAAGAGGCAGAGTGCAGAAGGATTGGTTCAAACTAACCAAGAGCAAAAAACTAGCATCAACTAAGTCTGATAAGAGAAAACTAAGAATGTACAAGATAATTAAATTTTTAAAGATTTAAATTAAAATGTTATATTATTTATTTAAAACAATTTTTTTTAGTTTAATTTAAAAAAAACATTTAAATCATATATACACGCTAATTGATTAGCAGTATCAATCGTACATTTTTTTACCACTAAATTCTTTTCCAATTATACTGTAATGTAATCGTGAGATTTAAAAAAAAGAAACACAAAACTATGGTTTATTTAATATCCTGATTTAAATTAATTTCTAACTAAACTAACAAACTTGTTTAGTTTATTTTTATTACATTTTAATGTAACAACAACTATTGCTAAAAACCATTTTGCAAGTGTAGTTCGCACATCAAAAATATGTAAGAAATTCACAATTAATAATAACAAATGATTCGACAGTCAACTGTAATATCCTAGTATTTTTATTAATCAAATAAAGATACAAATCAGATATAAATTAGTAGTAAAAAAAGTTTTTTATATAAATTAATGGTAGGTACAAAATAAAAAAATCCGTTAAGGAAATGAGGAATCTTTAGTAAAATAAAATGTTAAAATTACAGTAGTTCAAATAAAAATAGTATTGTTCACCAATTCTCAACTTAATACGCTAAAATAATTTAAATTATGAGTTGGCCAAATTCTACAAATACTGGGCAGAGTTGTACAATTAGGTACTTAATCTAGGAAAAATTACTTATTTCTTCAAATATTCTAAATAAGGACACGCTTCACACGGAACACACAAAAATTGAGATTTATCTTTGTTAGGCATTTATTCGTCGTCATCTTCATTCTCTTCTTTGCTTTCATCTCCAGCAGATTCTTCTTTTTCTTTCTTTTCTCCCTTCTTTGGGCGGCCGCGTTTACCAGTCTTACTCTGAAAAAAAAAATCAAATAAATATTTTATTTAAAAAAAAAAAAAACAGTTTTCATTACTTTTGGCTTGGGTGATTTCTTAGTAGCTGCTCCGCCAGACTTTGGTGGGCGGCCTCTACCTCTCTTCGCCGGGACACCGTCTTCATCTTTTTTTACTACCTCTTTCTTTTCTTCGCGAGCACGTTTTTTAGGTTCTTTGGAGTCCTAAACAAGCAAAATTATATAAGATATAATACACTGTATAAATTAATATTAATAGTATTTACATCGGACTTGGCGGGACGTCCACGCCTCTTTTCTACAACAGCTTCGGAGTCAGACATCTGAAAAATACATGAAACTACTATTAACATATTTCAAATTGTATACACATTATATTATGATAATTTAATTATTTTAATTGTCCCCCAAAAAAAAATATATACATATTTATATAATTTAATCATAAAATGATTAATTAATTGAAAAAACACCAAATCTAAAATGTTAGTTGAATTAATATATATTTTTTAATTTGAATAAATTAAAATAATCTTTGGTATAAATATGACTGTCACATTGTAAAAAAAAAAATTACTTCCAAGGTTTGTCAATAGATTATAAATTAGTATACGAGCGATTTGATAAACAAAACAATTCCGTCATGGCACTTAAGAGGGGAATCGTTTTTATTTTTCCAAAAAAAAATTCCGAAAGGCAAACGAAAAAAATATTATTAACTATTATTTCAACAAATCCATAAAATTCTGTCGACATACACCGACGCGAGTCGGACAAACGCGGATTGATTAAATTAATAAATCAACGAAATTATCGATCGGTCGAACAGTTTCGACATTTCCGAGCCATCAAACGTAACAACTTCAAAAATACCACATAAAAAAAAAAAAAAAACAAAATCTAGGCGAGTGTTGGCTTTTTTGGCGGCGGTGCAAAAAAAAACATCCGTTGTCCGTCGTTCGGATTTCGCACAAATATTTTAGCAAACGGTAACGTTATTTTGCGTTACCGCCATTAGTAATTAGCGTGTATAGAGAAAATCAATGAACGAAGGCCGGTATTGGGCGACGGGAAGAAACCGAGGACGTTGGCGCGGTTCAAACGGCAATAATTATTATTTAAAAAATTAATCGTTGTAGGTGTACGGAAAATAATAAAAATAAATAATTTACTTACGATAATTTGTTGAGAGATCGGTCGAATTTCCGTGGACGAAGCGACAGCGGACGCGAATTATTTGACTGAGGAAATTGCGAAAAGGGACAAGCAAACGCACAGCGAAAGTGTCTAATGTGAAATAATAAATAAATAAAAACTCTCCGCAGTCCGCTCAACGGTTCGAAAACAACATGTCGACTGTTGACAACAAAAACTCGGCCGGCCATTGGCCTGTTGTAATCGTAACCGTTACTGCCGTAACCGTCGCTGAGTTCTGTCTGATAAACACACATGTTGATGATAAGCGTTATCAGCGCCGCCGCGGACGAGATAGGACGAGTGACGTGTCTGTGAACTCTCGGCGATTTTGGTGTTTTTCTACGAAACTCTTCAATTGCTGTTAATTTTACTTATTATTTCGAGTTTATTAAACGATTTACCGAATTTTCGATCGAGTGAAAACTATCGTCGTCGACACAATACTTAATCCACAGCACGAATGGCGTTCAAACGGGATAAGAAAGAGGAGGAAGACGGTAAACCGATTTATGTCCGTTTTTTTCACACTCGTTCCTTGTATCACGCCCGAACGATACGATAATATCTCATCATTCCGTGAAAAACTTACCTATGTCATTTCGTCCTAACTTTATAAAAGATAAAAACTATCATCCCATAGTTCGACAATTGTTGTTTTTTGAGTTTTATTCAAGTCGGTTACAGTTCCTTCATACAACCTGCCGAGTGTTTTTTATTTTTATTGTTTAAAATGTTCTTTAAAAGTAAAAACAATTCCGCTTTTAAAGGAGGGAATCAGTATCAAAATCTTGAGAAGACCAGTGTTCTCCAGGAAGCGAGGACGTTCAACGATACTCCAGTCAACCCCAGAAAATGTATTCACATCCTCACCAAAATACTCTACATGATCAACCAAGTATAAATTGAAACATTTTTTTGAAATAAATAATTTAATTTTTACTGTATAATTAGGGTGAACAATTGAGCACCGCTGAGGCTACGGAAACATTTTTTGCCATGACTAAATTATTTCAATCGAGTGATAAAATAGTAAGGAGGATGGTTTACCTCGGAATCAAGGTAAGACAACAATTGCTTATAAAGTTTCATATCATATTTTATTAAGTAATATTTGATTATAACAAGGAATTGAGCGGTATTGCCAAAGATGTCATCATTGTAACGTCAAGTTTAACTAAGGACATGACTGGAAAAGAAGATACTTACAGGGCGGCAGCGATTCGAGCATTGTGCAGCATAACTGATGTATGTTGACATTAGTATGTTCAAAAATAAATTATTGCTTCTACTTTGTTTTGTTTTTTAATTAGGTATCCATGTTACAAACAATTGAACGTTACATGAAACAAGCGATAGTAGACAAAAATCCTGGCATCAGTAGTGCAGCATTAGTGAGCTGTTTACATTTGTGCAATAGCGCATCAGCGACCGATGTCGTTAAACGTTCTTTGAATGAAATACAAGAAGCACTGAACTCTGACAAGTAAATTTGAAATAAATGTTTTTTTAGTAGTGATGTAGCAAACTGTTTAATTTGTAACCCAAGTTTCATTCGGTTTGAAAATCAAACTCTATTAGAAATGTTAAAACCAAACTATTAAATTATTCATGCTGTATAATAAGCAAACTCATAAAAAGAACCTGACTAGGTGTTTATTAATAATTAATGAAATAAAAAGTATAACTATTATAACCTAAATACTTATAATTATAGTTTTTTTTATTATTTTTTTTTTTTTTATAGCCTTTATTGTATATAATTATAGTTTTAATTTGAAAAATGACATGATTTTTTTTTGTATTATTTGGGTTAAAAAAAATTTATAAGTTTGATTTAAACTCTCCAAAATAGGGTTTGTTGAATCACTTATGTTAAGTATGCTCTAATAAACACTTGTTTTCAGTGTTATGGTACAATATCACGCGTTAGGGTTACTATTTCATTTAAGAAAAACAGACCGCTTAGCAGTATCAAAGTTGGTCGCTAAGCTTACCAAAAGTAATATGAAATCACCATTTGCAGTTTGCATGTTGGTAAGTACTGAGTAATTAATATAAAAATGTACTTTAATTTGTTATGATTCAATTTGCTATAATCATTTATTACAAATTAATATCTGTCTATGTCAGCATGTTATGTATACAATTGTGTACACTAATAAATAAAAATAATAAAAAACATTTTCTGCTAATTAAAATTAAATGTTGATTATTATTTAACTGATTGTTTTTGTAAGAAAAAGAAAAATTTGAATTTAATTGAAAATAGTTCAGATTAATTTACTTCTTAACTACTGTATTTTTAGATAAGAATGGCTTGTAAGTTGTTAGAAGAAGAAAATATTCCTCGCTCTGAATCTCCTTTATTCGAGTTTGTCGAATCATGTATTCGCCATAAATCAGAAACGGTCGTGTATGAAGCCGCTCATGCGATTGTCCATTTAAGTGGTACTGGTGCAAGACATTTGGCACCGGCCGTATCGGTCTTACAACTATTCTGTTCATCAGCAAAGCCTACTTTACGTTTTGCCGCAGTGCGAACACTTAACAAAGTATAAACATCTTTTGAAAACAATTATTGTAGTATCGAGTTGTTACCTACAAACGTTTATTATTGTAGGTCGCTATGGAACATCCGAGCACTGTAACTGCTTGCAACTTGGATCTTGAAAACTTGATTAGTGACTCGAACCGATCGGTTGCCACATTAGCAATAACGACTTTACTGAAAACGGGATCAGAGGCGTCAGTTGATCGTCTAATGAAACAGATTGCTACGTTTGTAAATGAAATTTCTGATGAATTTAAAATCGTTGTTGTACAGGTAAAATGTTGTAAATTTATTTAAATATGATATTGCTAAAGTGTATTATTGTTTATAGGCCATTAGAGCACTATGTTCCAAATTTCCTCGTAAACATTCAGTCTTAATGAATTTTCTTTCCGGCATGTTAAGAGAAGAAGGCGGACTTGAGTACAAAGCGTCTATAGCCGACACAATCATAGCTATTATAGAAGAAAATCCAGAAGCTAAAGAGACCGGTTTGTACAATATTGATACCCTATTTAATAAATGCAATTTTTTTAATGAGATTTTTTTTAATGTTTTTATTTTAATAACTAAAATAGTGCAGTGTATTTATTGGCTAACAGAACTGCCATGAAAAGTGTATATTAATAACATATTATCTTAGTAGTATTATTATTACAATTATTAATCACCTACCCAAATAATATGATATTTTCGTTGATATCTTTTTTGTGGAAAATTGCAGGGTACATGTTTTAATGTTTCGTGCTCTGATCTAGTTCTTTTAGAGTAGATTAGAACCCTAGTGACAAAAAGAAAATTGTCTCTTGTAATGAACATGGGAGTCTAAAGGGCTAAATAATATTGTGTGCACAGTTAGTAGTGGCTAAAAAGTAGTAGGTTTCGTCCAAATATATGGAAAATGTTTTTTTGTAGTCAAGTCCTAAAATGTATTAGTTGTTATGGAGAAATTCTAGAATTAGTCGTAAAACAGAGAAAGTTTTTACAACGGTCACCTGAAACACATTAGTTTTTGTAAGAGATGACGATATATCTATGGGTTTTTTCTTCGTTAATACATAACTTATATACTATTTTAGGATTGGCTCATCTTTGCGAATTTATCGAGGATTGTGAGCATACTAGTTTAACAGTTCGTATTTTACATTTGTTGGGCAAAGAAGGACCTCGAACCAAACAGCCGTCACGGTAAATACACTAAAACCCTGGTTTTTTCAGATTATTGTACAATTTTTGTAATTGTTTAATTTATATTTTCAGGTACATACGATTTATTTATAACCGGGTTATCCTAGAAGGCGCTGTTGTGAGAGCCGCTGCTGTTGGGGCGATGGCTAAGTATGCTGCACATTGTTCAATGCTCACCGACAGCATTAAAGTACTTCTGAAAAGATGTTGTCTTGACGTTGATGATGAAGTCCGGGATAGAGCTACGTTTTATAGTCAGTTGTTGAGTTCTAATAATCGACAATTAATAACAGACTATTTGTCGGAACCAATTCATGTAAGTTTCGTCTCCTTTTATAAAATGAAAACAATGTGTCATGAAAACTTACCGTTATATTTCGAATATTATCACAATAGGTTTCTTTGCCGGTTTTGGAAAAGACATGCCAAGATTTTGTTGCAAATCCAACAAAAGAACGTATAAATCTGAGCGAATTGCCATTCGATACTGACGTTAAAGCGACTCATGCTGAATCTACGAGGAAAAATATTGTTGATAAAACTATTCAACCAGGTATGTTACTCATAACAAAAAACATACACTTTTTTTGTAAAATAAAAAAAAATGTACATTATTTTTTTATCTATACAGTAGAGCCGCCTGTTAAAACTGTAGATATTCAAACGCTACCAAATTTGATTAGCCTTAATGCCGGCACACTGTTCAAATCAACGAAACCTACTATGTTGACTGAGCCAGAAACTGAGTATGTGGTACGGTGTATTAAGCATGTATTTAGTGAACACTTAGTACTTCAAGTAAGTAACCATGACTATTGAATAATTAATCAAATTTGAGTGAAGTTTACTATATTACTTTTATATAAATATTTAGTTTGAGATTACCAATACCTTAGACGACCAAATTTTAGAAAACATTAGTATTGAGTTAGACATTAGTGAAGGCTTCTGTCTCTTGGATGAAGTAAAAATCGCCTCTCTAAAATATCAAGAAACTGAGAATGTTTATGTTTATCTGAAATTCCCGGATCATCCAGTTGAATCGATTGGTGAGTTTATTTATTTCTTTTAACAACGTTTATCATTTTGCTTGGATGTGGAACTTGGAAGGTATAATTTCTACTATGATGTTTTCTCTATTTTTTTGTTCTCTTTTTGCATCTTGGTCTCACTTAAACCGCCATACTGACTTCTTCATGTAGGAAGTTTATATAAATCAGAAATTATATCTGGAAAGTAGAAGCCAAAAATGAATAAAAAATAGTTTACCCTTTCTTCTTTAAAATCGAGAGAAACCACTTAAAAATGAACACATTTTTTTACTGAAAGCTACGACATGTTATAACTTTTTGAAAAAAAATATTGAAATACTTTTGAATTTGTACGGAATATTTTATAAATAGTGTTATCGATATACGGTGAAAAACCAAGAAAATATAGCTGATCCTTTCTCCTAAATGGGATGGGTAGAACTACGACAAAAACCATAATTCTAACCATATGGCAGATTTATTAATACCCATTTTAAGTACTATATGTATACGCTGGCAACTTAAAAAATTATTTGAGTAAACCAATTCAATATCTTCAAAACTATTCATATTTATACTTATCAGTTTTTACTATCTACAGTTATGCATCAGTGTTTAATTTTTCACTTTCAGACATAATAGTTCCTAAAGACTTGAACTTCTCCGACACCATTGTGTTGAAATTTGGTTTACAATAACCCAACCCTTTTTTTTTTCAGCGAGTTTTACAGCTAAAATGAAATTTATCGTTAAGGATTGTGATCCCATAACTGGCGAAGTGCAAGAAGGAGACGGCTACTTGGAAGATTATAGGGTAATTTTTATTTTTATTATTAACGGAAATTTTAAACAGATATTTTAACAAATCGTTTAAACTGCAGTTGGAAGATGTGGAAGTCACTTTGAAAGACCAAATGATGAAAGTAAAATGCGGAAACTGGGACACGTTATGGGAAGAAGCTCAGAGTATTTGTCACGAAGTACAAGAAACGTTTGCATTACCTCTTACCGACGATGGTCTGATGTATACTATTAAACAAATAATGTTATTCCTTGGAATGGGTGCTTCCAACAACTCGGACAGTGTACAACCGCCAAATAAATCGTCCCACACAGTTAATTTAGCAGGTAAATATACATTAAATATATTATGGAATTTGTTTTTAAAAATTTGATGTTTACTTAACACATTAATAACACTAGGTTTGATGCGAGGAAATCATAAAGTTCTCGCTTTAGCTAAGTTAGCATTAAGCGATAACAGTGTTACCATTCAACTGACTGTACGTACGATGGACGAAAGAGTTGCTGACCTCGTTGTGTCTACACTTGATTAATTGTCTATAGACAATATTAAAAGATCCTCGTTTTTGGGGTGTTTAGACCCATAATTAAACATACTATTATAATTCATTATTCATAACACTCAATTTATATTTCAATATATTTACTGATACATATTTTATTTGCAATTGTATTATAAGTTATTGGTTATTATATTATTATTTTTATTAAATAAATTTTACACTTGCAGTTATTTCTTAAGTGATAAAATTTAATATGTTTGTTTTTTATTACACTTATATAAAATAGTGGAGTTAAATGTAAATTTTAATTTATCAACTTTTTTTTTAAGAAAATTCAGAACAGAGTATAGTTTACAACCTAATACTTGTGTTTTTATATTGGTAAGTAGTAATTCTAAAAAAATTATATTATTTTGTGTATTCTTAACTGTTTTTATTTATGCTACAGTTTGTTTTATAGTTAAGAATTATGATTTATAATTTACAAGAATTTTGCTAAGAGGATGTATAATTAGTTAAATATAAAAAAAAAAAAGGTGTTTTCAGTAAACGTCCAATAATTTGTATCGAATGGCATAAGGCATAACTAGCTGACATTTTCTTTATAAATCATGAATATTTTTGGTTTAATGCAATTCGTTTTTGGGATACTGCTTCTTTGGAAGTACCTATCAGCTAGAAAAATCCTAAGAATAATTTTAGTTTTTGTTCCAAAATAGTATTGTACAATGTATTCAATAAATTAGTGAACAGTTTTTTATATTAATAGTAGAAAAAAATTTAAGAAAACCAATTTCTCCCAAATCTCAATTTAAAGCTATAGTGTATAGTTTATACAGTATACTTATTCAAAATAATGAGGTTTTTTAATTGTTTTATTTATCAGACTGTTCTACAATAATTTAAATACCATTTTAAAGATGATGTTATGTTATGTTGAAAACCGTTTGTGAATGAATTAATACAACAACTACTAAGGAATGAAAAAGAGCTCAATTCGCCAATACTTATTAATGTACATTTTGTTTTAAATTAACTTTTTCTTTAGTAATTTGTTTCCAACAAAGTATCTTTCAAACGTTAATGTCTCCAACATTCATTATCGATATTGTTATACTTTTTTTCGAAATAATATGAAAGTACCGTTTTAAATTTAAGACTTCAGTTTTCTTCAAAAATGTTTTACTATGTTCCTACACAAACCAAGTTTTGCCACTTATTGATACACTAATAAACAGTTGAATTGGGCGATTATTATTTTTATAAGACTACTATAGACTATAGTGATGTCTGTTTCCCACGTTAATTTTCATTATTATTGGTCAACTATTAAATGCATATATTATGACGTATTGTATTGTAAGTTTTCAAATTTTCAAAACCTAACCTACCACTACAAAAAAAAAGACTGTTAATGAAGTCCTCTCTTATAAATAAATAATAATAATTTATTATCCATTAACTATTGTTTACATCTATTATCTATTATTATTTATATCATTTGGTCGATAACGATTAACGGTAGTAACCGCGAAACCGGTTATAAACCAGACCCAGAAATCAAAATACTCAAATGCCACATGTCAAAATAAATATCTCGAATTGTGATAAGGATAACAGTTGTGGGATAATATCGCACTGGTGAGTTATTAAATGTTACTCTATGGTTAATTTACTCAGGTAAAACGCTTGTAGGTGTCTTCATGTTGTTAGGAATACGTGACGTCAGGTGAACTCAACGTCGCCCTACATTAATGCCGTGTAAATCGCATCAACGTTGCAACTATCCAGGATGATAACGCCGAAGCCGTTTACTTTCCATGATCCGCTGTAATCTTGTCACACGTATCAACACACCTAGTTGACTGCAAGTTGGCCGAACCGTGATCGAAAATTGTTCAATTTGCTGTGGTGTGTATACGTTTCATAATTTTTTTTTGTGAAAAGTTCATTGCAAATTCTACATGTTGGTCAGTGTAAAAAACCAGCCTTCAGTCGTCGATTTAATAGTCTATTGTTGAATTACAATCGGGAAGCAACAAAAAGTGAGTTTTAAATGCCGAGGGTCTAACAACCAACCGGTTGTTGTTGTACTTGGCTAGTAAGGAAACGAAGAAAAAACGTTTTTAACCGTCGTCAACTATTAAAGTATTGTTGTTTGTCTGTGATTTTAGCTACGTCAAAATGGTTCTACTGGCTTCGGCGGTATGTACGAAAACGGGAAAAACAATAGTATCGCGGCAGTTTGTCGAAATGACCAAAGCCCGCATTGAAGGTTTGCTGGCAGCGTTTCCCAAACTGATGTCTACAGAAAAACGTCACATTCAACATACATTTGTCGAAACGGATTCAGTGCGTTATGTTTATCAGCCATTGGATAAACTCTATATGTTACTGATCACAACCAAGACCAGTAATATATTAGAAGATCTAGAAACGCTAAGACTGTTTTCTAAAGTTGTCTTAGACTGTTGCAAGTATGTATCTCAAAATAATGTTTTACAGTTGCAAGTTAATTTATATTTATGGTTTCTTTTTAGATTGGTAGACGAGAATGAAGTGTCAAAGAAATCATTTGACTTGATATTTGCTTTCGACGAAATTGTTGCCTTGGGATATAGAGAAAGTGTTAACTTAGCACAAGTAAGAACATTCGTGGAAATGGACTCGCATGAAGAAAAAATGTACCAAGCCGTTCGTCAATCTCAAGAACGCGATGCCAAAGTTAAAATGCGTGAAAAAGCTAAGGAGTTACAACGGCAAAGAATTGATGCTGTTAAAAAAGGTGTTCGCATGCCAACGTCTTCATCAAGTCCATACAGCAGCATGTCCATGTCTCCAGTCGCTGAATCTGTATACGATATTAAAGTGTCTAAACCAGAACCTCCTAAATACGCTAGTAGCAATAAAGCTTTGAAATTAGGAGCTAAATCCAAGGATGTCGACTTGTTTGTTGATCAACTTAAATCTGAAGGTGAGAAAGTCGTACCGCTCAACAAAAAACCTACTATCGTACCTTCTTCATCAAGTATTCAGAGTGATGTTCATATTAAGAAGGAAGAACGTTTGGTAGCAATAGTCGGTCGTGATGGTGGAGTGCGTAACTTTGAGTTACACGGTTTGATATCATTAAGGATTTCCAATGAAAATTATCAAAAAATTGTATTGCAATTCAATAACGAGTCCGGAAACATCCCTTTACAAACTCATCCAAATGTCGATAAAGAATTATTTAAAACCAATCGTTTGATTGGCTTAAAAAATCCAACTAAACCTTTCCCATTAGAATCTGAGGTAGGACTGTTGAAATGGACAATTCAGTCTCAAGAAGAGTCGGCTATTCCCCTGTCGATTAACTGTTGGCCAAGTGAAAATGGTTTTGGAGGTTGTGATGTAAATATTGAGTACAACTTGGAGCACAATGACCTCGAGTTGAATAACGTTACTGTGACTGTTCCGCTGCCATATGGAAACGCGCCAGTCATTCAAGAATGTAGTGGAGTTTATAGTTATGAGCCCAAAAAGAATGTTTTGATTTGGTCAGTTGCTGTAGTCGATTCTTCAAATCCAACAGGTTCTATTGAATTTGAGTCACCAAAATCTGTCGCAACAGATTTCTTTCCAATAAAAGTGGACTTTAACTCAAAATCGGCGTACAACAAAATTAAACCTGTTGAAATTAGAATGGTCGACGATAACACTCCTGTGAAATTCACTACAGAAACTTCACTGTTTACCGGAAATTATGAAATAGTTTAAATACATTAGAGATTATTTACATTGTTTTAAAACATCCTTATTATTTTATTATAAACGTCTTTTATTATACACATTAAAATACGCTCTAAAAATATACACAGTTAAATTATTTATCATTATTGTTATAATTTTATATTTTATTCATTAGAGCTATTTTGTGAAGCCGATAACAATAATTCTTGAACTTCTTTTAAGTATGATATCTGTGAACGAACTGTACTTAAATATTGTGGATATGTCAGTGAGCTTAACTCCTGAGTTGGTACTGGTTCTGTTCTTGTAGGGTATACCATTAATGGGATGTAACGTTGACTACTCATACCTTAAAAAAAAAAAAAAAATTAACTTAAATATTTTATTTGCTATGAAAAATATTAACAATTAAAGTTTTTTTGTTATGGCCTGGGCTCGCTTAATATGCTTAATATTTATTTATGGTCCAGACAAAATGTATACAAAGCAATTATTTTATAATATAAAACATTATTATTAAAAGGCAATACAAAAAATATATATTTATTTTTCAAGCATGTCAAGCTCATGTTCACAATATTTAGTAATTTCATAAAATATATAATATTATTTGAGTATTAAATTTTTTTTTTTTTAAATCTATTCTGTAAGTATACTTATCTATACTCCAACTATAATTTTAATTTACTTGTAAACTTTAGTTTACAAGTAAAAGCTTTATTGTTTTTTTAATAATCTCTATAAACTTGTTTCAGTGCATAAGCATAACTGAGAAGGTATTAATGTTGTAGTTTCAGTTTTTGTTAACTGTTCATGAGTTAAAAAGGTAATTAAACTTCCACAAAAAAAATGCAACTATAAAATGAGTCAACTTGAATCAATCACACTTGTATTATTTTAAATATATTTATAAATAACCAAGATAGTAGATAGAAATAAATACTGACTGTTTTACTTGGTTTCTTAAATAATATCTTGATAAAAAAAGAGATCATGCTGACTCACAAAAATGTTAGGGTGTTTTAGGTATAAATAAAACATTTGTTGGCCTTAAAAAAAGTTAGTTAGATTTGGGTTATTTAGCCCTCCTGCTACTAGATACACAATGGGAATATGGGTGCTTTGCTCTACCCGGTGATATACTTTGAAATTCAGAATAAACTAAAATGAACAAATATTTTTATACCTTGTTGCTGGCATTCAATTGCTGTTTTCAAATTGTATTCAATTTGGTCGCAAATGGAGAAGAATTCTTCTATGGCTTTTTCAAATCGAGGATTTGGCATATCAACAGTTTTAAGTAACCCAGTATCGATATAATGATTTTGTTGCAACGTGTATGAAGCGGCTCGTAAAACACAATTTAAAGACTCTTTGAGTTGATTGACCTGTGTTTTTACTTTAGAAATGTTGTCCAACTTTTCTTGTTGTTGTTGCTGCTGTTGCTGTTGCTGTTGCTGAACTTGCTGCATGGGCGGTCCTTGGGGTGCTGACGGCGGAAATCCGGGCATAGACATTCTAAAATTGTATTAAAAAAAATTTACAAATACCGCTTCGCTCAATCGATTGATTTAAAGCAATTAATAGCTAGAATGTTTACTACAACGATTTTTTTAAATAATGATTAAGTGAATCAATAAACAAAGAAATTAATTTTATGATAATTAACTTTTCTTCATCAAAAATTAAATACTTCATTTATTAATACTATGGAGTTTGGACGTCTCTGTCAGCCACAGCTATTATAAATATTGTTTACAGGCTATAAGTGATATCAGTAATTTTAATTGATAATGTTCTTATCACGATGAAAAACTACTGGTAGCTACGATAAAAACGTGTTAACAGTACTGTGACCACCCTGGAAGTCGGTGTTTATGTTGGCGTTTCTGCAGTTGTTAAAATGATAACGCGACCGTCTAATCGGGATTTCCCGTAGCTGCTGTCTCGCGCCTCGGGCAGTCGGCAGTCAGTCATTACGATGAGCTGTAGTTGACCCGTTTATGTTTTCTCACTATCTGTTATCAGTACAGCGCGCTGATTGTCAAAATATTTGAGAATATAAAATAATTATTCTTGTTTAGTTTTAAACGACCAACGTTTAATTTTTCTAATAAGTCGATCGTTTCCCGTTCAGACCGAACACCGCACAGCCGGAACAATGGCTGACGACGACGGAAACATGGAAGAGAACAACGCAGGGGACATGAACACCAAATTTGGCTTACGAATACGTGGGCGCAAAGGTGCTCTAAAAAAGAAGAACGTCTATAACGTCAAGGATCACAAGTTCATACCTCGGTTTTTCAAACAACCTACATTTTGCAGCCACTGCAAGGATTTTATATGGTAAATATTAGCACTATATTATTTTCTACATTTAATCTACTAAAAGTCTAAACAAAGCTACTGTTATTAGTTTTAGACGATTTTGATTAACGAAACCACTGGCTTGGCTAGTTAATAGTGCTAAAAATTAAGTAGTTCTTAAATTAAATGATTCATAGGTTTTAGCACCATTTATCTGCTGTCAAAACCTAGACAAAAGTCTATCAAATTAAAGACACTACGAAAATGATTAGGGTATGGGCACAATTTGTTATCATTATTCATTCACAGTGTTTACTTATAAAAAAATGTATCGGAATTTGAAACGCAAAGCCTAGCCACTGCAGATAGAATAAAAAAAAATAATTTAATTGAGAATAATAAGTTATTGACTAAACTAAAAATCTATCTTTTAAAAAATAAAAATATGAATCCTCTGTAATTCTTTATCAAGTATGTAAATTTTTAAGTTGTTAAATAAACTTAAGTTAAAAATGATGTTTTTAAAAAAAATACTTAGTCCACTTTATGTACCTACATTAAATCTAAAAATTTAATAAAAAAAAAAGTGCCTACCTTTTTTGAGGAAAAGAGTTAATTATATTTTTTTGACTGTATATTGATAGGAAAAAAGAATACCTCAAACAAATTTAGAAATAACTCTTCTATTTTTTTTAATGCTTTTGTTAAAAAAAATATGTTAATTTTTTAAGGGGGTTTTCTCGATTTTGAAGGGAGGAGCTTGCACTTTTAAGCTTTTGGTCTCTCCAGGTTCCTAGGGTAGAATTTCTGATGTACAGATTGTGTATACAATATATAAAGAAATCAGCTCAGTAATTAAAAAGTTATATTGGGTTAAAGAAAAATTAATATCAGCATATTTTAATGTAGTTACATTACATATAATTATCTAATTATCTAATAAATCTAAAAAGTGTCTAATTACGTTTTTATATCAGTTAGTCGAAAACAGGCCATTTGTCTGTCGGTTAAATTATTATATTATGTGTTTTTGAATAGCACCCGTTTAATCCATAAAAAAAAAAAAATATATATATATATATCAATATTACAATAAATAACGAAGATTTATTAAGTTAGTAAAGTTGTTTATCTCGGCTATTTAAAAGTTCAAACTAAGTACTTGCATTTATGATACCTTGTATCAACCAAATAAGATTTTTTCATTTTTAATATTTCGAAATAATCTTAATGTATTTAAATTTAGGTTTTTATTTTCGAGTAATACGTAGTGCGCATGTTTTCCGGCTTTAGACACCACGATTTATGTGCAGTAGTTTATAGTGATTGGTTATATTATTCCTTTTATATGATATAATGTTATACAGGTACCCCGAAGGCACTTTAATATTGACTTCGGATATCGATTGTGCCACATGCCATTTTGGCAGTACGCTAAATAATTAAAAATATTGTATACATCTCGTCTCGTGATTATATAAGGCGGATTTACCCTCCGGTTTTGGAATAATGAAAAACAGCGACGATTATTCATTTGTGTTTTCGATCGATCCGACACTCTTATATAGGTACTAGAGGCGTTTAAAATCATTTTCTCATCACCACTAAACAAGGTGCTTTAGTCATAGTAAGTACCCCCACAGCGGTTAGATTCGTGCTTTGTTATATCATATTTTAATTACCATGGCGTTGTCAAGATAAATTATTATTATTGGCCAAAGCGCGCCTTGTATATATTATAATATTATCATGTGTGTGTATTTAAAAAGCTCTATAAATTATCGGATGTTTACACGACATCCGATCCCTTTTTTGTTCTGCTTTTTTTTAAGTCGGATATTTCCAGAAATCTCAATACATTTTTTACAGTATAGTTGTACCTACTGTATTTGAGTTTAACGTATAACACATCAAAAGTCATATCTGCGTGTCAGCTTTAGTCTGCAAATATCGTTACGCAGCACAAAACAATTTAGGTCATCGTATCGATTAACAGAACGCGCATTGTCTTTCATCATCACCATCATCATCGTCATATATTATGTTTATAATTTATTTATATATATACATACACATTGTACACATCAAATTCTACGAATATACGTTTCTATGAGCCATTTGAGTGATAGAAGAGATACCTTCAAAAATTGAAAATGTTAAGACATTTTTTTTCGAACGAATTACTTAATCTATAAATCTGTTAAGAAGTAACCATTTTTGTCATGGCTAATAATGCTAATATACCTGTATTAGCATTATTGCCTCGTCAATGATTTTGCGAACTACAGGCGTTGTGTCCCATTTAATTTTTTTAATTGGAAAATTTAAATAATTTATTATTCATTTCATGAAAATATTTTTTGTTGACTTAAAAAATGATTTTTTATGAAATTGTAAAATGGTAAGCATGTATATGATCTTGACAAAGAAAACCAGATTAATAAAAATAAAAACGCCGTAAAATATAATGAAAATAAACCTTTTTTTGTTTAATTTATCAAATGCAGATTTTTACACTCTTCCAGAAAATACCAGAAGTAAATAGCTTTTTCGCAGTTTTAAAAGTTCAATTCTGAGAAAAACACTCTATAAAAGTTTAAATAACGAATAATGATTTACAAGTCGATCTTTTGTGTGAGCAATAATAAGAACAAAATTACTTTGAATTTCAAATAAAAACTCAACGTGTATTGTGTATACTCTTCGATGGTTCCATTAATGGAATAAAAATAAATTGAAAATTTTAACTTTGTACATTAGGTTCTTAAAGATAAAAATCAATTACTTTGTTCCACGTGTAATAGGAACTTTTAAAAATTGAAACATCATTCATTAAATTAATTTATAATATAATATACCGAAACATAATGTGTAATTAATAATTATAAACTAAATCCAAAATTAATTTAAGTTTCTAAAGCCTTAAAGTATACGACAAAAATGTGTTCAATGTATACTACAGTAGATTAATAATCTAATATATCTATTTTTCGTCTATTAAATATTGCGCATTAAATTTTATAAATTATAGTTATAAAAAAATAGAATTCAGAAATTGTCGATAAAATTACGATTTTAAATGCATTTCAATCCGTTCCCTAGGGATGAAGGATAAAAATAGGTACTGTTTGTATAGAAAAATATATATAGTATTTATCAATTTTGTTTTTAAATGTTGTTTTAAGTTAAATGCCGTTATGGGGTTTGTCCAAGAAACATAAACTGCCTTTCGACCAACCCTCGGAGATTCATTTCAGAGCTTTGTAGTTGTGTACTTAGAGTAAATTAATTAGTGTTGGTTTGTTGTTGTAAGTAGGTTTGATTCCGGGTTAGTATTAGTTAACTAATTATTATTATTATTATTAGTTAAAGTTTTGTAATTGTAAAAGTGGTCTTGAGTCGTCAGTCCTTTGCCTATCCTTAAAACCGTCGGAAAGTGATATATTAATACAGTTAATATCGCATACAAATTCGGCAAATCTGCTGTAGTTTAATATTAAAAGTTAAACCGCCGTAAGAATTAAAAAAAATACCGTCTTTACAAACAGCGAAAATCTACATTAAAAACACTTGTAAAAACACTTGAAGGCGTGTTTTCTATTTATTAACTTTGCGGTTCTACTAAAATAGAGTACTATATTGCCAAATGTATGTGTGTATTTTTTAAGTAAACAATAATTCTGCATTGTGATATTGTTTTATTTCCGATGGTAATTTTGTAATTCTTGAATATTGTAAAAAATATTTTTGGTTTAAATTTTTTTATTTAGTTGTATAGTTTTTAAAATGGTGCATTTTGGTTTACCTAATTATCGACTACTAACTGTGTACATTTTTGAAACATAACTTAAAATTACATTTTTATTGAACTTAACTAGTTAAATTATAGGAACAAATTCGAAATTTATAATTAACTGACAAAATTACTTATAAATGAAAATCTGTGGTTAATTTTATATAATATTACTTAAGTAAATAGAAAACAAAACATCATTATAAAACCATTACTTTATTTTTTTGAATTTAAATTAATATACTATGTTTATATAATTGTAATATGCCTGGTAAAATCAATATTATTGTATGTTTTGAATGATTAATAATGTTGGTATTTTATAAATGCCAAAATATAATTGATACCTATAAGGTGTTTTTTGGTCACTCTGTTGTTAACTATGTACTTGTCATAAATTAATAGAATTATTGCTCAACACACTCATTTGACGATTTTAATTTTAAACTAAAATGATTACGACATCAATTAGTTTATTGTTGTCTGATAATAACTTCAGTTTTGACAAATTTATACAAAACATGTATTAATGTATAGATAGAAGAAAGACCAGTTGCAAACATGTTCATGTCGTTTTTCTCATCATCAAATTCGATTAAGCTTAAATTCTGAGTAACGCTAATTAAAATAATAATTTTTTTATGAAACAGCAATGTCTTGTGACGTAAATGACTTCTTCTTTTTGTTTTAATTTGTAAACCAGCTAAGCGTGTATTATGTTCCAGTATCGTGTTGCAAGCTATTATATTTTAACAATCTTAATTACACCTCGATACAATTTATATAATCGACATTTTATGAAATAACTCCCAATTAACTGCTTTCCATAACGTTGCAAAAAAAAAATGTTATACGTTACAGGTGATTCTGAGATACAGTTTGGTTTTGTTGATGTAATTTATTAATTATTATTATAGTAATACAAGTATTGATGGGTAATAAAATAACCTTTGAGGTACACTTTTTTTTTGGAGAAGTAATTGTTGTTAGGTTATAACTAATAATGAATGTTGAGTTAAAAATACAAAAAACGAAAACTTGAATTTCAATTTACCTCTGATTTAATCATAAACTATATAATGAATTTATTTAAAAAATGTGTTTTAAATTCTGTACAAGCTTAATGAGCTAATACATGTTGAGAAACTATAACTTTTAAAAATATGTCACCATTTAACTATTTGATATGAGAAAAATGTTTTTTTATTGATTTTTAATATAGTTTAATACAGTAATTGAAATATAA